TGCTCTTTGGCAAATTGTAACCTCTTCAGCACATGTCTTTTTTTCAACAGTGGGACTTTGCGGGGGCTTCTTGCAGATAGCTTGGCTTCACATAGGCGTCTTCTGATTGTAACAGTACTCACAGGGAACTTTAGACCTTCTTTGATCTTCCTGGAGCTGATTGTTGGCCGAGTCCTTGCCATTTTGGCTATTCTTCTATCCATTTGAATGGTAGTTTTTCGCTTTCTTCCACGTCTTTCAGGTTTTGGTTGCCATTTTAAAGCATTTGCGATCATTTTAGCTGAGCAACCTATCATTTTCTGCACTTCTTTATATGTTTTCCCCTCTCCAATCAACTTTTTAATCAAGGTACACTGTTCTTCTGAACAATGTCTGGAACGACCCATTTTCCTCAGAATTTCAGAGAGAAATGCACTGTAACCAGCATGTACAACATTTGCTGCCTTCCTTCCTTAAATAAGGGCAATAATTGCCACCTGTCTTTCAAAGAATGAATGACCTCACTAATAGAACTCCACACTGCTATTATTTTGAACATGCCCCTTTCAATTAGTGATTCAATTACACAGAATAAGCAGCATGCATGTCATGACTGTTGGGTCTGTTGGATTTCTATTACTCTACTACACCTGCTAGTAAATTACTTGCCATGTAGAAATATCATTTCTACCAAAAACAGTGATTGATCAGGTTAGTGATGTCTGACTGCTATTATTTTGAACACAGCTGTATATATATTGAACACGGTCAACATTTTATTTCAAATATATGTCCATATACGGAGAATATTTATAAAATATATTTAAGTGTTCTTGCATGGCAAGACCACTTACTGTTATCTCACATATATATTCTTATTATTATAGCCAAATTTACCACCCTAACTCCTCCCACAGTTTTTACACTACATAGACAGTAATATACCGAAACGTGCGGATTGTTCCCGATTGGTGTGCTATTACTTTGTGGAACGTTTCGCCGAATGGTTCACGAAATATCGCCATTTTTTGTGGTGAAATTGGTCCCATAGGAATGAATGGCGGAATGTTCAAAACTAGAGTGGGAGCTGACAAAAGCTAGAGTGTGAGCTGAAAAATCAGGACATGATTTCTAAACTGCCATCACTCACTCATTTTCAAGCCCACCTACACAAATCTTATATCAAAACGTTCAGCTATCCCTGCTGCCACTAAAAATGTCCACGGCTAAGCCATAGTCCTCATAGTTTTCACAATATGACCATTTGTTTGCAACTCACGCCCCCCATTGTCATTCATTGAAACTCCACTCTAGCCACCTCAAATTTGAAGGGCAATTTCTAAACTGCGACTGTGCCTTCATTTTTAATATTTCAGAGACATACTATGCATCAAAATGTAGGTCTGGGTCTTGTGATTCTCACAATATAAAGCTCTTCACTGTAGGATTTATAGTTTTTAAAACTACGACCATTTGAAGACGCCAGTGAAGTGAGCAATTTGGAGCAGTTTGTTTTTAACCGCTCTTCTCTGCCCTATTTGAAATCTAATTTTGAATTTGTGACAGTTTGGCCGGCTTCTGGTTAAAGGTTTGGAAATAAGTTTTCTACAGTAGAGAGTATTTGAGGTGATAATGCTGCTAATGTTTTTATAAATGTATGTTTTAATGTAACTGTGAAGCACTTTGGGCAACAACATTGCAATTAAATGTGCTATATAAATAATTAAAAGTTGAAATGCATTTCTCACTCTATCAAGCTTGCCATGTGCACTTTTTAAATTTGATCAATCAATTGGTTAGTGTAATGTTTACTATCTTTACTCACTCCAAACACTCCACACAGTTACTCTGCCCACTCCATAAAGTTACTCTCCCACTCCATAAAGTTACTCTCCCACTCCATAAAAGTTACTCTGCCCACTCCATAAAGTTACTCTGCCCAGTCCAACCTTTTCACAGTTACTCCAGCCACTCCAACCACACAACAGTTACTCAAGCCACTCCACCCAGTTACTCCTCCCACTCCAGTTATAGACTACTGGTGGAAGCAAGAACACTTCACACAAACTCCTCAGAAATTGTAGCTTTTCTAGTTTTTAAACTACAACCGTTTGAAGATGGCAACCGCCAGCGAAGTGAGCGAGTTGGAGCAGTTTGTTTTTAACAGCTCTTCTCTGCCCTTGCTGTAGAGTGAGTTGCCATAGGAACCCAGGTTTGTGAGCAGGCAGCAGAGTGACAAGCTACTCCACCCATTCCAGTTGTAGACTACTGGTGGAGGCAAGAACACTTCACACAACTTCCACAGAAATTGTAGCTTTTCTAGTTCAAATATATTTTTCTTCCATGTGGGAAACCTTGCAGTTAAATCATGGTTTTACCGCTCCCCCAGTCCCTACCCCTTTTAGCTGCTGAGGCAGCAGCCAGCCAAAGCTATACACATGTCCCAGCAGGAATTACACTCCCTGTTGCTTTTGGTGGGTGCTACCACCTGTCAAGACCCATTCAAGTAAATGGGCCACTCTGCAAGCACCCTGCAACTGCATGCTTCTGTGGGTCCAAGGGCTTAAAGCAGGTGGTGAGAAAGCAACACACCGCTGCCTGTTTAACCCCTTGTTTGCTGTACTGCCCAGGATTGCAGGGCAATTGCAGAGTGGCCTCATTCACTTGAATGGGTCCTGTTTGGCTAGTGCTATACCCACCAACCATGACAGGGTGAAGGAGCAGCATTACAAAGGAGACATCAACATGACTCTTGCTCCCTACTACAACTCCAACTTTACAAGTAGTCCCTCTGCATTGCACTCTGTTTGATGCTCTGGGATGGCGGGTCAGCAAGCCCAGACTGTGATCTACCAGTCACCTGGCCAAGATCTACTGGTTGCTGACCCCCACGGTAGACAGATGTGGAATGGATCCCCCATCCGTCTGTTTTTAAGGGATCTGATTGGATGCAGGTGGGTGTAAATGGACACATGTCCCTTTACATATGCCACTCCATAGAGGGCAATAGATGGTCCAATCGGGTCCTCCTAAAAAATGGACAGGTGGATCCGATTGGACCATGAGTGCAAACGGAGCCTATAACTGGACAGTGAAAGGAGGAGTTCATCTGTCGGTCAATGCTTTCTTCTCCTATCAGCATGCTTCTTGCATACTAACACAACTGGCTAGCTTTCTGTTTGCCGCTCTCTACCCCTCTCTAACTTTGACTGTGCAAAAGGCTGATACCAAGTCAAAATGGGTTCCTACGCTGCTTGTATTTTCAAAATTACATTTGATAATGGATTAATGATTACAGACTTTTTATTCCTGTCTGTAGTTCTGCTTTAAACGGATCAACCTGATTAATTTTATTATTATATATTTTATTATGTGTGTTATTTTTTTTAAAAAAACGTTTCCATGTACGGTTTCTAATTACTGTGCATATGTTAATGAGGAGAAGTCATATCCGCTCATTACATAGTGCGTCTGCTTTCCTGTGGTACACGGTGGTTGTGCTTTACTGCCCCTTTCCACAGTGCCAATCTATGAATCAGCTGCTTGTTTGAAAACAATGCATTCCCTGGGTGGCTGATATCTTGGGGTTAATATATTATCAAATAAGTAGCTTGATAGTGAAAGGTGGAGCCCATCAGTCAGATAAAATTATTTACCGTATACCAGGTTTATCCAACTATAACCCACTGACAGCGCTTGGCACGAGTAAACTCGTCTAAATGCGTCTTCAGTGCTTGAGCATTAATTCATGTCATTGGCCAGAATAAATTATTATTTTGGTCAATGAAATGAATTAGCGCCCATTTGCTAAATGCGCCTAAATAGAATACATGCGATTATAAGCATCACTAATTTTTTTCTGCCAATACACTACTGCCAGGAGAAAAGGCATGTAGGAAAGCTGGCCAAACGTCCAAAGTACATGATTGTAATTTTCACATAAGCAAGAAGCTCTGCATGCTGATGTGAAATAGTTTTTTTTAGTCCTCATGCACACTGGACGTTTTGATAACACTGGTAACATTAGCTGTGTAAAGTCACGTTAAAAATTTGAGTTTTTCAGCTTTTTTAGCATTTTTTCATTAGTGTTTTGTGACGTTTTGCCACATTTAGCGCCGTTTTTCCCGTGTTTTTCCACGTTTCTGTTTTTTGACCAAAAAAAAAAAAATTTTTTGGGATCAAAAAAAATCCAAAAAGTCAGTTTGCGGTGTTTTACCACATTTTTCAGCATTAGAGCGTTTTTACAGCTAAAAAACTTCTCTAGAAACCCACTAGTCTGGAGTTTTGTTTTCCAGCCAAAAAAAAAAAACGTTGATTACAGTCTATGTGTGGACATGGACACATAGGATAACATGCTGGGGGGTTTACTGGCTGTAGAAAAAAATGTCAAAAGCCAAAAACAGCAGCTGTAAAAATGTCCAGTGTGCATGAGGACTTAAAAAAGAGGATTTTTGAATTACTTACCTTTTTGTGTTCCAACTTTCTGGTTCCTCCATTCTATTGATTCGCCCAGCCTCACAGATGCACCCTGGGAAAGCAACGTTACCATTGCCCCCCCCCATCCCCTGAGGGATATGTGTTCCTAAAGATCTGACTGTATTATCATAGCAGGAATGCACAAGATGGAGGGCATGACGCCATGTGCCTTATTTTGCTCATGCTTCATATGAGATTACACTCATCCCTGAAAAATATGTTTCCCTCCTGAGGTCTTGTGAGATCTGAGGAGGCTTTAGTTTTTATTCAACAGACAAATGTTGCATTGTACGGCACAAGCGCAAGACATGGTGCATGACACCACACACTTAATCTTGATAATGCTGCGAAATTTGGTGCATACGGCACCGGTTGGCCAGCATACGGAGCAAAGAAAGAATCCAGCCGCAAATTACGTTATTTTGAAAAATGGCGGCACAGGTATAGACCAGAGGCAGCATGAAAAGGGTAAAACATAGACATCAAGTTGCATGGACGTATGTAAGTGCACTTGTTTTTTTACATAGTTTCCTATAGTGCTAGTGCAGGCGGTTTTCAAATGGGGGGGAGGTTTACTTTAATCCACTCTGCCTCTAATATTTTATCCAGTGTTTCTCAACCTTTTTTCAGTCAAGGCACCCTTTAAAATGATGGATAATTCCAAGGCACCCTCTAAAATGATGGACAATTTCAAGGCACCCTTTAAAATGATGGACAATTCCAAGGCACCCTTTAAAATGATGGACAATTCCAAGGCACCCTTTAAAATGATGGACAATTCCAAGGCACCCTCTAAAATGATGTACAATTCCAAGGCACCCTCTAAAATGATGGACAATTCCAAGGCACCCTCTAAAATGATGGACAATTTCAAGGCACCCTTTAAAATGATGGACAATTCCAAGGCACCCTCTAAAATGATGGACAGATCCCAAGGCACCCTTTAAAATTATGGACAGTCTTGAGGCACCCCATTCTAAAATGTAAAAAACTATTCTAATAGTTTTATATAACACAGCAACTTCCACACATGCAGGACACCCAACATTAGAGGTGATTGATTCTTCCAAATCAAATACACATTTGCATACGGGTACTGACTAATATTACCGTGTTTCTCTCAGTTTTTCTCAATCACTTAGCAAATGTGACCTCAGCACTGACGGAAAGGGGGGGAGAGTCAAACAGGGTTGCTGTGCAGACAACTGACATTCTCCTTATCAACTGATGATGTCATTGGTTGTCAGGACGCCAATGGCTAGAAGGTCATAATGGCGCACAATGAAGACCTGTGGCTTTGTGTAAGTAAAAGACAGGCTTCTTCCACCTGCTGGCTTGCATACACGTTTTGGGCAACTTTTAGACATTTTGCCAAGACACCCCGGAAGAAACTTCAAGGCACCCCAGAGTGCCTGGGCACTCTGGTTGAGAAAGGCTGATCAAATCTGTAAATCTACACATTTTAAATAACAGGCATATGAAAGGGCAATCATATAAAATATATGCCTTAATATTGCTGTGCTTTCTTTTAAAGCACCTCTGCAATATTTATAAAGCACTGCTGCTGGCTGCATAAGGCCCCGTTCACACCTGAGAGTTTTGTAGCACCCTATGTGCCTGTTCACACCTGAGCATAGTGTCACTTGAAGCTTGCAGCTCGCAGCTCGAAAAAGTAAACAAGCTTTTTTTGTGCTACAAGCTTTTTAGCCCTAATAGACTTCAGTGGGAATGCCTAAAGAACACTCAAAAATGTTTATATCACACTTCCTTTCCTCTAGTAACTTGCTCAAGCAAAAACATCTCCAATACCCTTAAAAAACCCTCTAAAAACTCTTAAAGAAAGCCTGTACAAAAATGACCAGACGCTCAGCTCAAGTGTGGATCCAGTGAACGTGTGCATTTTTTTCATGTTGTTCCACTGCACACATTTGTTTTAATGGGCTGTCTAACACACAACAAATATACTTCTTGAGTTACGAATTTCACAATTTTTTTTAACGCGTCTGTTCTACAGCATTTGGGGTTCCATTAACAATGAATGGAACTGCTAGTGCAACACTTTTTTTGCATATTTCATAAAAGTTTTTGTGTGTTCTTGAAGCACTATAGTGTGATTGGAGACTAAATGTGCTTTGCGTTCCACTTAGTACACTTCAGGATTCTGAAACAAGCATGTTCATAAAATGCAGAAAAACGAGAGAAAGGAAGAGGAAACCTTTCAGCCAGTTGGCAGCATTTACAATTGCTCTAGGGAGTGAGATTTTTATCATTATCATTCAATGAATATTCCCCCCCTGGGAGAGACATATTTTGCTGTGGGGACTTATACACAAGAGCTCCATCCATCACTTGTCACTGCGGTTATTCTAATCAAGAATCAGCCAGCTGTATGGAGCATTCATTCATTTCAAGGAAGGAACCTGCTACATGACCTGAAATGGTGACTTTGTCCAATATTCAAGAGTTCTCCAAGTTATATGCATCAAACACACCGCAGGACATCAGAGGCCCCACCATACACAATACATTTTATACATTATATTGGGACATCCCTCCAAATCATTGGATTCCGGTGTTCCAATCACCTCCATGACCACAGGTGTATCAAATCAAGCACCCAGGCATGCAGACTGCTTCTACAAACATTTGTGAAAGAATTGGTCGCTCTCAGGAGCTCAGTGAATTCAAGCATGGTACCGTGATAGGTTGCCACCTGTGCAATAAGTCCATCCGTGAAATTTCTTTGCTACTAAATATTCCACGGTCAACTGTTAGTGGTATTATAACAAAGTGGAAGCAACTGAGAACAATAGCAACTCAGCCACAAAGTGGTAGGCCATGTAAAATGACAGAGCGGGGACAGCACATGCTGAAGCACACAGTGTGCAGAAGTTGTCAACTGTCTGCAGAGTCAATAGCTAAAGACCTCCAACCTTCGTGTGGCCTTCAGATTAGCACAACAACAGTGCGTAGAGAGCTTCATGGAATGGGTTTCCATGCCTGAGCAGCTGCATCCAAGTCTTATATCACCAAGTGCAATGAAGCCTCGAGTGCAGTGGTGTAAAGCATGCAGCCACTGGACTGTAGAGCAGTGGAGATGTGTCCTCTGGAGTGATGAATCACGCTTCTCTGTCTGGCAGTCCAATGGACGTGTCTGGGATTGGCGGTTGCCAGGAGAACGGTACTTGCCTGTCTGCATTGTGCCAAGTGTAAAGTTTGGTGGAAGGGGGGATTATGGTGTGGGGCTGTGTTTCATGGATTGGGCTTGGTCCCTTAGTTCTAGTGAAGGGAACTCTTAAGGCATCAGCATACCAAGACATTTTGGACAATTTCATGTTCCCAACTTTATGGGAACAGTTTGGGGATGGTCCCTTCCTGTTCCAACATGACTGCGCACCAGTGCACAAAGCAACGTCCATAAAGCCATGGATGAGCGAGTTTGGGGGTGGAGGAACGTGACTGGCCTGCACAGAGTCCTGAACACCTTTGGGATGAATTAGGGAGGAGACTGCGAGCCAGGCCTTCTCATCCGACATCAGTGCCTGACCTCACAAATGTGCTTCTGGAGGAATGGTTAAACGTTCCCATAGCCACACTCCTAAGCCCTGTGGTCAGCCTTCACAGAAGAGTTGATGCTGTTATAGCTGCAAAGGGTGGGCCAACTCAATATTGAACCCTATGGACTAAGACTTGGATGCCATTAAAGTTCATATGGACTATTTGCAATGTTGTGACGAGGGGATGGACATTGCTGTCCTATATACAGTGGGGATCGAAAGTTTGGGCACCCCAGCTAAAAATTTGTATTAATGTGCATAAAGAAGTCAAGGAAAGATGGAAAAATCTCCAAAAGGCATCAAATTACAGATTAGACATTCTTATAATATGTCAACAAAAGTTAGATTTTATTTCCATCATTTACACTTTCAAAATAACAGAAAACAAAAAAATGACGTCTGCAAAAGTTTGGGCACCCTGCAGAATTTATAGCATGCGCTGCCCCCTTTGCCAAGCTGAGACCTGCCATTGTCATGGATTGTTCTCAATAATCGTCTGGGAAGACCAGGTGATGTCAATCTCAAAGGTTTTAAATGCCCAGACTCATCTGACCTTGCCCCAACAATCAGCACCATGGGTTCTTCTAAGTAGTTGTCTAGAAAACTGAAACTGAAAATAGTTGACGCTCACAAAGCTGGAGAAGGCTATAAGAAGATAGCAAAGCGTTTTCAGATGTTAATATCCTCTGTTCGGAATGTAATTAAGAAATGGCAGTCATCAGGAACAGTGGAAGTTAAAGCAAGATCTGGAAGACCAAGAAAAATATCAGACAGAACAGCTCGCAGGATTGTGAGAAAAACAATTCAAAACCCACGTTTGACTGCACGATCCCTCCAGAAAGATCTGGCAGACACTGGAGTTGTGGTACACTATTCCATTATAAAGAGATACTTGTACAAATATGGTCTTCATGGAAGAGTCATCAGAAGAAAACCTCTTCTACGTCCTCACCACAAAAATCATTGTTTGAACTTTGCAAATGAATATATAGACAAGCCTGATGCATTTTGGAAACAAGTTCTGTGGACCGATGAGGTTAAAATTGAACTTTTTGGCCGGAATGAGCAAAAGTACGTTTGGAGAAGAAGGGGCACAGAATTTAATGAAAAGAACCTCTGTCCAACTGTTAAGCATGGGGTTGGATCAATCATGCTTTGGGGTTGTGTTGCAGCCAGTGGCACAGGGAACATCTCACGAGTAGAAGGAAAAATGGATTCAATAAAATTTCAGCAAATTTTGGATGGTAACTTGATGCCATCTGTGAAAAAGCTGAAGTTAAAGAGAGGATGGCTTCTACAAATGGATAATGATCCTAAAACACACCTCGAAATCCACGGGGGATTACATCAAGAGGCATAAACTGAAGGTTTTGCCATGGACTTCACAATCTCCTGACCTCAACATAATTGAAAATCTATGGATAGACCTTAAAAGAGCAGTGCGTGACAGACAGCCCAGAAATCTCAAAGAACTGGAAGACTTTTGTAAGGAAGAATGGGCAAAGATACCTCAAACAAGAATTAAAAGACTCTTGGCTGGCTACAAAAAGCATTTACAAGCTGTGATACTTGCCAAAGGGGGCAGTACAAGATATTAACTCTGCAGGGTGCCCAAACTTTTGCAGACGCCATTTTTTTTTGTTTTCTGTTATTTTGAAAGTGTAAATGATGGAAATAAAATCTAACTCTTGTTGACATATTATAAGAATGTCTAATCTGTAATTTGATGCCTTTTGGAGATTTTTCCCTCTTTCCTTGGCTTCTTTATGCACATTAATGCAAATTTTTAGCTGGGGTGCCCAAACTTTCGATCCCCACTGTATGTGCTCCCTGAACAGACACCAAGGGGAATTTATCAAAACTGGAGCAGCTGTGCATGGCAAAACAATCAACTTCTATCTTTAATTTTCAAAGCTTAATTGAACAAGCTGAAGATAGAAGCTGATTGGTTGCCATGCACAGCTACTCCAGTTTTGATAAATTCCCCCCGCTATACCTTCTCTTAAAATCACAACTCCAGCATATTACCACCCCCTTTCACCAACCCCCACATCCTCCTGATGTTGGTATTAAAAAACTATCCGCATGCCTATTTTATGTACCTAAACCCATGGGCACATGACACTGCCAGGCCAACTTTTCTCTTTTCTTCAGTTTACTTTTGGGGATCCTTATGGTGAGCCCAAACCACTTCTTGGGTGATGTGGACATTTCCTATTGGTGGAGGTGACACTTCCAGTAACCGGGTCATCTCTTATAGGCTCCAGAGGCAGGAGAACTTACAAAGGAGGGGAGAGGACCAGTGACCAAGAAGACAAGGAGCAGGGAAAATTATCTGGCTTCCAAAGCAGGATATTAGCTTTGCTCATAGGGGAAACTGTGACTTTGATTACACTGCGGGATGGCTTAAGAAGTGGTGTTTGGAATCAAGACTGAGGAGTAAGGTAACTGATGCACAATGCACTATTTAGGTTTTATTTTTGCTTGGAGTCTTGCTTTATATTAGAACTTATTTATTTTATTTTTATGTAGTAAAGGGTAAGACAGATGTTGGTATGTTAACGAAAGGATGATTTTATAAGTTTGGAGGCTGTCTTTTCAGACTTGTGAACATTCTAGATGCCTTGCAGTGCCTGCCAGTTCCTGGAACTCTTTAATATTATTATTTATTTCAGTGTGTTCCATCACAAAATCCCTGTGCTTGTGATGACTACCAGGCCATAGAGATAATCATATCAGAGATGCAGCTCCATCTGGGTAACTTGAGCAGGATCTTTTAATTCCCCTTGTATTAAATTATATTGTAACTGTACTGTCTCCCTCCATTTTGTAAAGCTCTGCTCAAACTGTTGGTGCTTGATAAATCCTGTATGAATCCTATATAAATAATAATAATAGATAGGGAAGGGTTAGAACCACCATCAGCTTTAAAAGGCAGAACTAAACCCTGCTTTCCTCTACAGCAGCGGCCTACAAAATGCTTCTCATGGGCCAAATGTGGCCCTTTGCTTGCCTTCATCTGGCCCTTAGGTACCATTGCTTCCACTGTCACTAGCAATGGGCCACTATTCTTCCCATTGACACCAGCACTGGGCCACTATTCTTCACACTGACACCAATAACGGGGCACTATTCCTTTGACTGACTCCAATAATGGGCATTCTTTCTCCCACTGACACCATCAATTGGGCATTATTCCTCACATGAATATCAATGATGGGGCACTGTTCTACTCCCACTGACCACAGGTGCTATGTAAATTTTACCCCTCTCCTCCTAATTCTGAAGGACAGTAATCTAGCCCCTTGTTCAGAAAATTTGCAGACCCATGCTCTACAGCCAAGGAAGCTGCCATTTTAGCCTGTATTGATCTGCACTTGCCATGGCGCTACACATTATCGGTTTTGACCCCAGCCATTCGATGGCTTCATAGTTCAGTTGAGAGTACATGCAACCGTGACAGTGACACACTTTGTATCACAAATGCCCTATTGAATGTTTTTATTCTTGCCTGTGTACTTGATGGAGAAATTTCCCCTTGCTTCCTGTTCTGTTTAATAGTGGCCACACCTGCTTTAATTCTATAATCCGCTGCTAGTTGAATAAGCATAACTTTCCTTCCAATCAGTTTAGATTGAGATTGGATTTGAGCAAACTGAGTCGATTGGTCAGGGTGTAAGATAACCAATTGTTTTGCAGCACTAAAATACTTTGTTCATGAATACGATCTTATTTCAGTTGATCAGAATTTGAGGTACCATAGTGAAAACAGAGATACGATCTTGAATTTACGATTAAAACGTACGTTTCTATCTTAACTATTGATCAAAATCCACTTTCCAATGTGTGATATATTGATCGAATGGGTAGTTGACAAAATTTTTATTATTCCTATCAGAAGAGATCGATCGGAAAAAAAACATTGATCATTTATCGCAGATTGTATGACCTCCATAACACCTATAAACAGAATTGATGGGAAATATTCCAAACAGTGTCAATGGGACCAATAAACAGTTGTCAGTGGTTGTAACCCTTCACCACTCTGTTCAAAACTACAAAAGCAAGTTTTGGCTGGAGTTGAGCTTGAAGTGCAAGCTGCATCAGGTTATCGGATAGAGAATCTGTTCATATGAGTAGTTAGCAGTCCTGGAACAAGGTCACCTAGTGCACAGGGCGAAGATGGCAAACTGTACCCCCCATGATGTGTGAGCATCAAGTATCAGCTAAAATTCTCCCCCTCACAAAAAAAATCCAGCACTAATCTGCACATTCAATCCCGCCCCCAAGCATAAATTCCCCCTGTAAGCCAAAATTCTACCCAAACAAAAATGCAAACATTCTCCTTCCTTCCAGTACAAACTCCCCCTCCCAGCACAAATCATTGCCCCTCCATTCTCAACTTCCAAACTTCCCTGCCCCTCCCAAATTTCCCCTCCTAGCATAA